TGTATGGGCGATACACGCCATCGGAGGAAGTGGATGATGCGTAGGACAATGAGGATGAAGAAGATCCGGTAGATGCTACTGAATCTGTTCGGGAAGACATTATGTAAAGGTCACTCGTTAACTGAAGCTTACTAAGACTACAGCGCTGTTATGAGCTAACAGTAAAGATCCAAGAAGCGTCCAAAAACTGCTGCTCAGGCAACTGATGGATTAACTGTGGCTGCAGTTGGTTTATATCAGCGAAAATTTGGTTTCCAGATTTTTCACCGTACTTGTCCTTTTGTTTCCTTACAGTCGGTCTGGTTAAGGCTCTTTCTCCTTCGTAAGACGAAACCTTACTGTTTCCATACATACGTGTAAGGAAAAAGTTTTAACCAACAAGGCACGAAGCATACGGTTGAGTTTCTTAGTACAAATGTTAAAAGAAAAGACAGGTTTCTGTGGAATTTCGGTATGTGTTGAAGTAAAGGAAAGTTGAGAGGAGACCTATTACAAGAGGTTAGAGCGCAAGCAATAAACAGTAATCCGTCTCGCGACCCGGATAAGAGCCATTATGTTCTTGTTTTTCTGGGTCAAGCGACGGTTTGATTTACCCTGCATCCGTATCTTAGATCCTGAATAAGTCGCGTCAGCGGCCTGGTTTCTATTGTTTGAGAATTTTGGTATAATGGCTGTCGCACTCCTGTTCATTTGCCCTGTTGCCTAGCTAATATCCCGGATTCGTCGCGACATTGACCAAGATTGCATTGTTTTGCTACCGACATAATCTTGTTTATCTGGGTTACACGTTCTTTTGATTTGGTCCGGTAGCTTGATATCTGCGAGCCGGATTCCGTCGCGACTTTCATTGTTTAAAAAACGGTTTTTCCGGATTCTTACAATGGTTCTCCCTCGGCCCTTTTTACCTAATAGGTCAAAAGGAATTTTCCTTGGTAGCTTCACGTATCATACAGCCCAACCCACATCGTTAGAGAACCAGTGCCCACCAGACCAAAAACTCTCTGCTTCGGACCACATCAGTCTGGTCAAGGGTAGTGGGAGTTTACAAATCACCTGCAGCCAATGGCTGCGCACCAGGAAAAAATGTTGAGTTCCAAGCCCGAGGATATAAGTCGATTTCTCTAACACAAAATCAAATCATTCGGACAGTTTTCTTTTACGCACCACTGCAACTGGATCTTCAGCATCCCACATGGCTATTCCTGATTTTCCTGACGAGTTTCCACTGCTTGAAGAGTACACTGGTAAGTTCAAACAGTATGTATTGCTGACTTATTTATTTACAAAAGCTGTCAAATTTATTTTTCTAACATTAGTAATGGTGACCTTTCATAGTTAGATTGAGGCTCTTTATAACACGATTATTGCTCCATTACCTAAAGAAATCCTCGGCTTCTTATAGAGATCGCAAATGAATTGTTTTCGGATTGGTTGGCTCTCAACCACTGCCGCAGAATCCGGCGTTATTCTGGCTATTTCAACCTAGCCTATGCGTTGTGGATTGACCTTGCTTACTACATCCGCCATTATGATGCTCTCGTCTTGTTTCTCCATGTCGCTGAATTTCTGGTAAGCAGTCACTGTAAATCTTATTCTTCACCTAGATTTGCATTTCTTAATTCTTCTTTGACTTTGGTTTACCATTTATCGCTAATTTCAAAATTTTCTATGTAGAAACAACTTCACGATTTCTACTATCGGCTCATTGTTCCCACTCCGGATTTGCCTGACGAATTTCCACTCCTTGCACAGTACATTGGTGAGCCACTGAATTTTCATATTTTTTTAAAGACTTTTGTGTTTGTCTGTTCCAACACTTATAAAATGCTTAACATTTTAGAGCGAGCCAACAATTTGATTTCGGACTGGGCTTCACGCACTGAGTTTGACCAGATCCACACCTACTACACGTACTATCAGCGGGCCAAGAATATGTGGTTCGATCTTCAGCGTTACACCCGCAATGCTGGCGTCCTTCTCGTGTTTCTTCGTCTAACTGATTTTATGGTAAGATTCCTCGCCGTTGATGTATTTTTTTCTGTGCATAATTCAACTTATATTCATTATTTGGTTTTTGTAGAAGCGACTGCACGACTTTTACTACGAACGCATTGCTGGCGCCCCGGACAACTCGCTTGACTCGGGTTTCTTTGAGGGCGATCCGTCGGATGAAGCTGAAAGCGACGTGGGTGACGAAAACGAAGAAGAAGGTGAACACGTTCTCGCAGACGACACTTTGGAGAGTGAGCCGGCGACTGAAGCTGAAGAAGGAGAAATCGACGCGATTCCGGAGACCGAAGCCGAAGAGGAATTGGACGACACTCTCCTGGTAGGAGACATTGACTTGGACGAGTACCTGAACGGCACTGAGCCTGTGGACACTGTCGAATGCGGCAACAAACGGAAGCATTCGGACGACGACGACGACAACAACGAAACCGAGGAACCGCCTGCCAAGAAGCAAGAGACTGAGGTGAACACGGAAAACTAAAATGTCGTAGTGTTTTTCTTTTATGGCGTTGTCTTTACATACAATACATACCATGGGATAATGGCAGTACAGTTTTCATACCTCTTGTTTGATAACGCATACCGTGGGATAATGGTTACAGTAACAGCGGAATTATAATGTTGTGGTGTAGACTGTTTTTGATGGAGATTGTTGCTGTTGTGGAAATAATACAACGTGGTTCTTTTTCGTTAGTTTTTCACGTTAAAACACGTCGAAAGAAAGGCCGAGCGGTTACTTACCGGCGCTGCTAGCGCCGGTAAGTATCCACTCGCGCCCACTGGAACGCCCAAAGGTGTGGCTTAAACACTGTTAACCAATTGCATCGCATTACAGAAAACATCAGACCAATAAGCACACGCTGCAGTAATTCAGCTCGTGTATAAAAGCCGCGCGACACGAGATTTTTCTTCATTTAAATCCTTCACGTCTGGCAAAAATGACTTATCAGTTGTCTGCTTCTGATCATGCGGCTATTGCGGCCATACTCAGTGAGCCGTGGATGGATGATGATGAGCAGCAGCAGCAGCCGCAAGTTAATGATGCGTACCAGTTAACCGCTGAAGATCAAGCAGCCTTTGATCACATGCTTGCTAATCCCAATGAGTTCAATGAACACGATGAACAGACTCTAGCAACCGCTTTGCTGCATCTGGATCAGGTTGATCAGTTAAGCCCGGGATCTTTAGCTGCCGCTCTTGCTCTTGCGCAACTGGACGACTGGCAGTATGAAGATCCACCAGCGCCGCAAGCTGGTGGAAATGCGGTCCGAGATGAATCGCTGCCCGATTTCTCAGGTCTATTTCAATTGGTCAAAGAGTCGGAACGCGTTTTCAAAACCTTCAACAGCACTGAACAGAAATACCGTGTCCAGATAGCCTCGCTACCGCGAATTTTTGCAAAAGAAGAAACCATGCTCATCATGCCGGAAATCCTGCGCGTCATAATGGATTTGTGCTTTAAAGAATTTGCCCCGACGGACCGTGTTGTTGTGGCTCTCAAATCGGATGGGCTTGAAAGAGCGTTCTATTTAACCATGCGAAAGCTCTCTGACTTTAGCATACCCGCTTTTATGCATCGTATTGAGCTTCTGAACTCCGGCCAGAAGTTGGTAATTGACGATTCTTTCACCATACGGATCTGGCGCTCTATCATGCCGGCTGGTGGATCCTGGTTCCTCAGGCATCAGCACGTTAAGCATGACCGAAATCGTTTCAAGAAATCCATTGTAAGCGTCCGTGTAGAAAATAACCTCTGCTTGCCCGCCGCGTTGTTTCTGGGAAAATTCCGCCTCACGCATGACCTTGAAGTTCCGCCGCATAAGAATAAATGGAAAAATTATATTCGTGCTAACCGAAGTCGCAAGTTGGAAGCGGAGGCCATCAAGATAATGAATAACTGCGATCTGCAACCTGGCCATTACTGCGACCTTGATGCCCTAGGCGTGCTTCAGGAAAATGAATTTCCCGAGTTTCAAATTAAGGTTATATCGGCCAATCAAGGTGATATGATTATTGCACGGGTACCCGAGCGTAAAACCCATGATATGCAGGAGATTTTTTTGTTGCTGGACAATGAGCATTTTGACCTGGTCACATCCGCGACAGGCTTTTACTGCTCACCCTACTTCTGCAATGATTGCGATCGACCGTATCATCATAGAGAACGTCATCGGTGCGAGGGGAAATGTAGGTCGTGCTACCGCAACAAGAACGCCTGTCTGGTGGACAATCCAATCTTCTGCACTGAATGCAGCCGTCGGTTCCACAACCAACAGTGTTACGATATCCATAAGAAGAAAAGGAAAAATGGAAAGAATTATTGCGAGCAAATGTTCATCTGCCAGGCATGCGGTGTTTTTGTGAACCTGTCCAATCGTGGCAAAAACGTAACACACCAGTGCGGGGAAATTTATTGTAACACGTGCAATGGTTTTTTTCTCCAAGCTACGCATTTGTGCTACATAAAACCACTGAAGGCACCGCCACCATGGCAGCAAGAAGAAATGAAATACATTTTCTTCGATTACGAAACCTACAACGATCCAGTGAATGGTCACGTACCCACATGCATCGTTGCGCAATATGCTGATGGTTCGGAAGTACGTTTTCCGGAAGACGGTCAGCCAATGAATACGGAAGTTGATGAGGCATTTGGACGCTGGTTGTTTCAAGAAAAGCATCGGGGATTTACTATCATAGCACACAATTTTCGAGGCTATGATGGACATTTTGTCCTAAAGTACATGTTGGACAATGGATTGAAAGGAGTGGAGGTCATCAAGCGTGGGACGCAGTTGTTGGAATTGCGGTACCGCAAACTGGGGATCCGGTCACGTGATACACTCAACTTTCTGGCTTGAAAGTTGAGTCAGTTACCAAAAGCGGTTGGCTTGGAAATCGAAGTGCAGAAAGGCGACTTCCCACATCGATTTAACAAGCCTGAAAATTGGGATAAAACTGATTTGCCCTGGCCCGAGCCGGATCAGTACATGATTGATGGAATGCGAAAAAAGCAAAAAGAAGAATTTCTTAAGTGGCACGCTGAAGCTAAAGCGGCCGCCAATGGGGTGTTCAATTTTCGCGAGCAGATGATGACGTATTGCTCGAACGATGTTACGGTTTTGCGTGTGTGTGCTTTAAAGTTTATCAGCGATTACCAAGCTCTGACGTCGCTGAATCCAATGGAAAGTATGACCATGCCTTCGGCCTGCTACCGGTACTGGAGAATGTTTCACCTTCCGGAGAACAAAGTTGCCGCGTTATCCAGTCATGGACCGCACAGAAACCGACGGACTAGTATTCAAGCCACGCAATGGCTGGAATGGGAGAACATGAGCGCAAACGGTCGTATACGCCATGGTCGGAACGGCAAAGAAGTTAAAATTGGGCGATACTTTGTAGACGGTTTTGACAAGGAGACACAAACCGTTTACGAGTATAACGGTTGCGTCTTCCATGGACATCCTTTCTGTACTGAAGAAAACGATGTTGTACCATACTCCAAAAAGAAAATGCGCGAAGTTTACGAAGAGTTCCAGGAACGCGAACGCTTCCTTGAAAGTCAGGGCTACACTGTGGAGGTGAAATGGAGCTGCGAGTGGCTTAAAGAACGACAAGATCCCGATATTGCCGCATTTCTGCTGAATATGAACATTCGTGAGCCAATGAATCCTCGTGACGCCTTCAAAGGAGGCAGAACGAATGCCAGTCGTTTGTATTACCAAGTAAAGGATGACGAAGAAATTAGGCATTATGACGTTGTTAGCTTGTACCCATTCGTGAACAAGACCAAGGCATACCCGGTCGGCCATCCTGAAGTAATCGTATCCAATTTCAAGGATGCCAAAGATTATTTTGGACTGGTCTACTGCAAAGTAGCGGCTCCGGATCAATGCCTGTATCCAGTCTTACCGGCCACGATAAACGGCAAGCTTATGTTTGTTCTGTGCAAAAAATGCGCGATGGAAAAAGCGTTGAGCCGCTGTGCGCATACAGACGATGATCGCTGTTTCGAAGGGGTTTGGGCGACACCCGAACTACATCATGCAATCGATGTGGGGTATCGTGTTGTGGAAATGTATGAAGTGTGGCACTGGACGCAGTCTGACACCAAGCTCTTTGCGGCATACATGGACAAGTTTTTAAAAGTGAAAATGGAAGCCAGTGGTTGGCCTGCGTGGTGCGATACCGATGAAAAGAAAGCCAAGTTTATTCAGACGGTTAAAGAACGCGAAGGCATTTCCTTGGATCCTGATGCTATGGTTTTTGATGCTGGAAAGAAGAGCACAACCAAGATTGTGGTGAACAGTCTATGGGGTAAAACCGGTCAAAGTTGCGATATGAACTCAACGGAGTTTGTCTACGACCCCAAACGGTATTCTGATCTGTGTCGTTCAAAAGCTATTGAAATACATGATGTCTATGGCGTAAGCCCAACGTGTCTGATGGTAACACACTCGAAAGTGGATGACTACAATGAAGGCAGCAACGGTACGAATGTTGTCATTGCCGCTTTCACCACCAGCCATGCGCGACTTATACTATTATCCCTCATGGAAAAGTTGGGCGAGCGCCTCCTGTACTACGACACGGATTCCGTGATATTCATTCACCGACCTGGCGACTGGCTTCCTGATACCGGCAGTATTCTTGGGGATTGGGATAACCAGCTAGAAGCTGGCGAGAATCACATCGTTAAATTTGTCTCCTGTGGTCCAAAAGTGTACAGCTACGAAACCGACACGGGGCGCATTGAGTTGAAAGTGAAAGGTATGATGCAGAACGGATTTACGGAAGATATTTTGGATTGGGACTCGGTCACGAAGGAGCTGACGCGGACTGGAAAAGCCTTGGATTTTAACCAGCTGAAGCGGTTACTGGATGGTGTGGATGGGCATGTTCAGGTTGTATATCCAGAATACATCAAACGAAATGGAAAAACCCAAGAAATTAATACTGTTCAGTTAGCTAAGAAATTGAAGCTTGTTTACGACAAGCGCATCATGTTGGATGATTTTACAACGCTGCCTTTTGGCACGCGATAGAAAAAAGAGGGTGGGGAAAAATCAATAAAAGAAAGGGGAAAACCTAATCTGTTTGCGTCGCTTCGTCGCTCACCATCACATCAAGCACCTCTTTCGTAATTTTTCTTGATTCTTCCAACTGCGTACGATTGGCGGACTTGATAAAATAGGAAACAATTTCTAAAGTATTGAAAACTACCAGCAGCATGGTGACCAGTACTGCAAAGAATACTGATGCTGCTTTTTTAGCTAACGGCTTAACCATTTCTTATAAGGTCGCGTATAAATGTTGCGTCACGGACTACAGTCCTTAGTCGGAAGAACTTGTTGATGAATTTACATACAAATTTATCATTCACCCCTTTATGCTTAGTGAGGGCAGACATGACGTCTTTATACGAAAACCCGTAGCAACGTAATAAAACGAAAAACATACAATATTGACCACATACAGTACTATCAGTGTTTTGTCGCTCAGTATTCGACATTATAACAAAGTCATTGTCTATCCATTTTTCAATGTCATCTGAGTAGTCGCCGGGATTTTTTCCGTACGAATCAAAAACCTCTATCGTACCGGGTTTTGTACAATAAAATGCTACCCAGTGTTCACCCGCCGCACCTGACGGTTGAGTGTTAGATATGTATGCACCTGGAAATTCTTTTACTGGCAGCGTATCACTGGCAAATACTCCGACAAAAATGTCGCGAACGTTAGGATCTTGTTTCAGCGCTGAATCTATTTGTAGGCTGTTCATGGCGCAAAGTCGAAAAGTACTTGGCGATTGTTGTTAATTTCGATAATGTTATCGAAGACCATCATAGCTACGCAAACTATACCTTCAGGTAGCGGTTTTGCAAATTTAACATTGATGTTTAAATTACCTTGCCTTATCAGTGACAAGGCTCCTCTGCCCGTGTGGCCGCGAGTGAAGTCAAACCCAAAAATATTGAAACCACCCTTTGTTAAATACGGACCTGTCAAACGGTAGTTCACCATGACCTTCATGCAGCCGCTCTAGAGTATCTAACAACCCTTCATAACCCTCAATTGACGCACCGTTCTGGAAATCTAAGTTGTACCCCCGTGTAGGAAAAAGCTGTCCATCAATTTCAGCACTTAAGTTAGATACGTTGAAATGATGAAATTGAACGGAGTTGACTTAAAATCGCCAACGAATGAGCGATTGGGTGACATTGCAAAGAACATTACCTTGGGTAACTGTCCAATAACAATATTCGCCCAGGATAGTTGCTGCTGACCTGATTGCATTGTGGTTTGTCTTAAAGCAACCCGTTCGATGTGATATTTTGCATTAGTCGTGACTAGTTGCTTTGTCATGGCTGCTAAGAAGTCTGGAGAAGGTTCATACTTTCGAACTTTCAGCTTGGGGTTTCGAATAGCAAAAGCCTTTGGAGCCGCTACATCATTATCAGTAAGAAAACAAAGATTAGCCCTGTTTCGAATTAGTTTAATGCTCAACTCAACACCAGGAATTAGTGGTCGGTCTTGCTGGAACAAATCGCAGTGTAGTTTACCAGACAACTGCAACGGACGGAAAGTCTGCAACCATGTTCTTCGCGTTTCGGCACCCTTACTATGAAATGTTGTTGCCCCATTTATCTCATTCATGTATAACGGGTCTTTGTCAAGGTCAGTGTCCAACGCAAATCCACACAGGCTCAACTGACTGTTCTGAGCCTGAACAGTGAAACCCAGAAGGGATTCAATGTACGCTCGAATGTGATACAAAGGACTGTTATCGGTTATGTTGCGACCTCCCAATGAAACCGTAACTGACTGAAATAAACTATGCAAAATATTGTTAACTGGTGCAAGACAGTCTTTTTCTGTTGGAACAGTACCAGCAGAATTAGTAACGTGTAAATCACAAGAAAATCTAATGTCAGCTAAGCTGATAAGCTCGGTTTGACACGGTGAAATTGTAAATACAATATCGTTTGAATCGTCGGTTACGGCTTGAGACGGGCCCAAGTCATAGTCATGTGTATTCCACCTTTCCGTAAGCGTAGCTGGAAGATAAAACAAGTGACTTTCCAACAGCATGGAGGGTTCTGAGCCAGCTTCAATAAGAGCCATCGTTACAGTTTGTCTTTTATAGCGTCTATTGCGCGTTGACGTTTCGTGGTTTTGATCATTCTCTTTCGACGACGACCCTTAATACCCGACCCCTGTTGTTGAGCCGTGTTGCGTAATTTCTCGCTAACACGCTCAACAGCTTTATCGATTACGGATTCCACAGCTTTGCTGGCCATTGTTTTCATGTGAGGTTGGGCCGTTGCAATTAAATTGTTTATATGCGGCGCAGCTTTGCTGAACAAACCCTTTGCAAATCCAATCACACGTCCCCAGAAACTACCACCTTTCATGGGTGCACCACGATAATATGGCATACCGTACCCATGCTGTTTGGTAAAGATCTGGGTGTAGCGGTGCTCGTCAAATTTTAACTCTTGTAGAACCATTTTAATGCTTCTTTGGTCGAAAGTGTAATTTAATTACTGATGTGCCTGGATGAAAGAGTACTTCCTTCCCTAAATCATCGCGCATCGCTATTTCTATAGTTTGAAACGCATGGTAGGCCAGCGGCATATAATGCGGATTTTCAAAACGAATTACTGTCTCTCGAAATGAATTCGCTTGAGTCGATAAGGTGCGTAGTAAAGGCACCATTGAGTCGCCTACCAACCCATGCGTAATCACGTCACAATACACATGCACGAGACGATTATGCTGTCCCGGATATAACATATGAGACAAAGCATCTCTGCTGTTATATGTGTACTGGTGTAGTATACCTAGTGCGCGCGCGTATTCGGAGCCCGTAAAAGTTAAAGAGAGGCCCGGCGTGATGTTTAACTGAGCTGCTTGACCACTCACTATTATCTGGCCGTAGGTTTTCGAGTCCCTATCATCTACGTTTTCCCTCAGCAGTTTGTTAACCGTCCGAATTAAATGATTTTCATCCTCAAAAGCATGTTGATCGACGAATCTATGAGTTCTAGACGGCATACCGTCACGCGAGACAGCAATGGATAATCCGGTATTAAACTTTATCCGCATAGGCGGTAGAATAATTTCCGAAAGACCTACTTCCCACGCACCGTCTAAATCTATAGGTCTAGCGAGCAGCGTTGTAAATTTACCAGGGCAGTTTTCAGGGTATAACCCCTCTGACGCCGAAGACGGCAATGTCATGTAAAAACTCATTTCAAATCTTCTTTGTTTTCCCACGAGTCATAAGCAGGACCGTATCCATACCAACGTACTAAGTATTGTACTTTTCCTTTATGTTTCCTTTCCCTTAATATCCTAGAGATCCTATGATATGGCTTTTCTGCCATTGTGACTTTAGATAACTCTTCCGGATAAAACTTACCGTCTACAGGTTCGCCAGCTAAATCTTCGACCGTGTAAAGGTAATGGCTCCCGCTTCGTGTAGCGTGGGTTATTTTAAAAACTTCTTCTGTGAAACGAGTCTCGTACCCTTTTTCAAATGTCTGTTTCTTTTTTGCCAAACGTACATGATCACCAACAGAAAATGTTGGTTTTGGATTTTTCATACCTTTTTGTTCATCAACCATCTTCTGGAGAATTTGCTCAGCTTCATCAGGACCGACGTCTTTAGGGGCTACTCCTGTAGCCGAGTGTTTTGTAGAATTGTAAGCGGATAAAACCTTAGGAAGGATATCTATGAATCGGTATGTGTTGTTTTCGGTCATGAACACATACAACCGGTCTTCAATGGTACGATTTAGACGTTCAACCATCGCACATTTTACATCATCGTTTTTTGTTGTAAAAAATGTAACATTACATTCTTCAAAAAACTTACGCATGTCTTTACTAACAAATTCCTTACCATTATCGCTTTGAACGCGTAATGGAGGATAATCACTCTTGTATATTTTCAAAAGCGCTTCACGAATATCAGCAGGCCGTTTGGATTTAACCGGCTCAGCCCATGCATAACGAGAAAAGCAGTCGATACACATAAGAATATACTTAAACCCATCGTTATAACTAGCAAATTTTTGAAAATCCACAAGATCAATTTGATGTTGGTCACCCACATTAACGGAAATAATTTTTCGGCGTTTGAACTTAGACCGAAAAGGTTTGTGCTGTGTATATGCGTCTTTGGTTTCTAAGTAAGCTTTAACCTGTTTTCGTGTATATCCATGTTTCCTGGCTTCTTTATACAAGCGGTCTATGCCACCTAAACTCCCTTGAGAAACAGGATTCAAATACAGATCATCTAATGTGGGCTTCATCATGTGTAGGAGAGCCAGCCGCCTCTTTGTATACCACCTTTGTGTTTTTTAGCGGGAGGTCCTGACGCTTTATTACGTTTTCTCAACTGAATTTTGTTCCGACCTGAACTTTCAGCTTTATTTGATTGTTCGAAAGTTAAAGCCTTAAGCGGCGGTGCGTCGGTAATAGCTGCCTGCTCTTTCTCACTGGCTTCTATTGCTAATCTTTGAGAACCACTAGCAATTGCAGCCCTTTGCTTAGGTTTTGGTGTGGCCTTTTGGAGCTTGTTAGAGGTTTTTGGCTTAATTGCCACCGTTTTCGACCCTTCAATAGCAAGTTGCTGATCATTGTCCTTTTGCCGGAGCCGGTTTGAAGTTTTCGGTTTAACGGCTAGCGCTTTTAACCCTTCAACAGCTAGTTGGTTACTTTCCAAAGCCGGAACAGATCCATTGTCAGGTACTTGATATTCTAACACACCATCAGCAGGAAATTCTACTATCGGAACACTAGGCGGAGTAGGAGCGTATTCTATAGCGGCATTTAAAGTGTTATCGGATTTCAGAATGCGTCTAACATGGACTTTTTGACCAAAGGGGTTTTTCGGCTTCCGATAAACATGTTTGACTACCGGTTTGCTTGGAACAACTTGTATTTGCGGCTCACCAGGCACTTGTACATATTGTACAATTGGTTGTGATGGTACCTCGACATACTTATATTCAACTAACGGTGGGGCTGTTGCTTG